TTACAGCTTGCGCGGTTCGCTCTTTAACATCTGTCAGTAGAAAAATAGCAAATGTAACCGGTAAATAAAGGGGTGTACTTGAAGTAAATATTTCAAAATGTTTCGCTGCTTTTGGGATTAGGTATATAGCTTCCTTCACTAAAAGTGATACGTTAATAATAATTAGAAGACAACTAATAAACATGCATTGATGATTTCCTCTTTTACAACCAGCATTAATTATCATTAAAAGAATAAACGTCTTGGCTAACAAGTCCAACCACTTTAAAAGCAATAAACTGACTGGATGGGTGACATAAAAACCCGTTTAAGGAGCCATTTGATTTTCACGGTTTGCAGGATTATTTTCGTAAAAATAGCCTTAATCCGTCATCAAGAGTACTCTTACGACTGTCACATTAGGACCCTCCTCAAACTGGATTTTCCAGTTTGTTTTATCCTTATTTCTCTACTTAATTATCAATTTAGAAATAAACAATTGTACGCAAATAGATGCTTAGAGGAAACAGGCAATGGGTAGCCATTAATTTGTACCATTGTAGAATGTGGATTTTAGATTTTTGAGTTCCATTAAATCATTCGCGTTCGTTTTGAAACTGAGAGCATTTATGCCTCTAAGACAACTACGTGAAGTAGAATAAATAAGCGTATTATACTTCGTGTATTACAAAAATATACTAAACTCAGTATTAAGAAAAGTAAACTCAAAGTAGAGACACAAAAAGCATAATTTAACAAACACGTACGTTAATTAAATTTTATTTGGCAAGTTAGTACCTATGTTTTCAGAGGAAACAGGCAATGGGTAGCCATTAATTTGTACCATTGTAGAATGTGGATTTTAGATTTTTGATTTCCATTAAATCATTCGCGTTCGTTTTGAAACTGAGAGCATTTATGCCTCTAAGACAACTACGTGAAGTAGAATAAATAAGCGTATTATACTTCGTGTATTACAAAAATATACTAAACTCAGTATTAAGAAAAGTAAACTCAAAGTAGAGACACAAAAAGCATAATTTAACAAACACGTACGTTAATTAAATTTTATTTGGCAAGTTAGTACCTATGTTTTCTTCAAATGCATGAAAATGTTCCTGGCATTGTGGCAGGCATAAAGAACCTACAAGAACGATACTGAGGTTTTTACCAATAAAGAAAGTCAGTTTACTGCAGACAACAAATTTACGTCTTCTCAATGTTGGATACGTCATTTTGATTCATAACGAAGTTTATTTTTATTTATGTAGATACAAATAGATTGTAAACGATGTTTATCTGGACCCAGCTGTTCCTGATCATTGGGCTTTAAATAAATGATCCTGACTAATGAAACCGCTGATCTTAGTCAGTAACAAAGCTACACAGGTCATCTCACACCATTCTACACTCAACCTTCACTCATTTGGGTTAAAATACGCACCTAGGTGGCATCCCCATCTCAACGATTGATTATTATTATTATCATTCATGCATTGCCACATCCGATCACCGCAAAACTTATAGATAGTGATAGTATTATACTCATCTTGGTGAGTTTCTGCATGCGTTTGAACTTGAAATTTATTCGTGTTCCTGTGGGGCTTTGGGATGTTAGCATTGATTAATCTCTTATTGTTTGTCAACTAAAAGAAATCCGTGTCAGTGTATGTGACCGAAGCAGTAAATATCAAATTGTATCGTAATTTTATTCCAGCTCAGATATTATTGGATTGGATACTTGTCTGAATAGTTTGTATATTTTTGTTACATTTTAGCAACTTGGAAACTGGACACAAACAAGTCCAAACATCGACAAACAAAGCTGTCTCCGCAGAAGCCCCTCGGCGTTGTATTCGGTTACCTTATATCGAAATCGATCCGATACGATACTCTATAGTACTGTAGTCATGACGTAACTAACATGGCATTGACAAAACTGTTAACACCGTCTCCCGTTAATTTCCAAACACCGTTAAATCCGGTTTCGTCGTTACATCTTGGTGTATTTTATAGTTTGATTTACTCAAGTTGTTTACAAACATTTGCTTGCCAAACTTGATAAAATTGTTAAGTTGTATTTAGGACAAGTCAGCATTTGGTTTGGTTATCCCTGACTAACTAGGCGAAGGCTTTTTACATTTTCATTATACATCTGTATTGTCCAAATTGCATGTTTAATGAGGATTGTTGATTAACATAACTTTACTCTGGCTGATCAACACTACGTATTCTACGTCACATGACTACTAAAGCTTTTTTGATCACAAACTGTATTTTAGTTGAACGATTCAATCTTTGTGCGTATAACCTTAAATAAATTCAAAAAAATTAATAAACCTTTAAAACATACTGACTGTAGTTTTCAGGGCCGAACCAGTGATCTTTTGATAACCAGGCCAGCACTAAAACTATTCAGCTACCCAGCCCATAACATATTTTTGTATCATCACACGTCTAAAATAAAAACCATCTGTCTCTATCAAACTCCATAAACCATTCCTACTCCTCGTCCCACTGACGAGGGAGGGTCAGGTTTTATCAATTTTCATTTACCTGCGTATCTATGTAAAGTCAATGTTATGGCAAACTACTACCTATTATAAAGTTTAACTACTGTAATGTACCTCGGCCTTTATCGCATTTTTTTTTAGATTATGCCAGATTAGACAGTTACAGGAGAGCTCACAGACCAGTTTTTATATCGGTAGCAAATAACCAGCAGCTGACGTTGTTTTATTACCGTATTGTCGATGTATTTTTACCATCTTGAAAGGCAATACTTCCAATCCTCCAGTTGTGCAGCCAACCAAGACCGCGGCACAGCTGGGTTAGGTTACCGTGGTTCTTCTACTTTGGTCGTATTTAATATTGACCATTGGTGTTCATTACGAAGTTTTTAGCAGTAAAAAGAATATTTTACCTAACAATGTTTAGAGTTCGAAACTTGCGATTTCGAAAGACATCATACACGTACAGGAACTAAACTTTAGTAAAGGCCGTGATTTGCATAGTTCGTTTTACATTTTTTTCAGTAAAATCTTCTTCCACACGACGAAAGATGTTTTGATTAGGTTTTCAATGTTGATTCGTGACGTTTAGAGTTTTCCAGTTACCCAGAAACAAAATGAGTTTATAAAACTTTATAGCCAAATAAAAAGAAATAGAAGACTTGTAGGTAACCCTAAGTACATATTATAACTTTCTCACCTTATTATCCATGCATTCTAAAGAGAAATAATTGAATTCCAAGCATTTAAGTCTTCGTAGCTATACACCAACCTAACTTCGTTTCACCAAACAATACTTGCATCGTTATACTAGTCGTAAAAGAGCATTTATGATACTAAATCATAGACCGCCGTTGTCCAACTCTTGGTTTGTTACGTAACATGATAATTCACAATCACATGACGTTCAACCTAGGGTGTCCTTCCTGTCCTGGCATCGAGAGAAGCAATCGTGCCATTTGCCAATACTGGATTTGAATAATAATAAGGCAGCCTACAGTATTGAATATGCACAGCACGAAATGAGAGAACAGTATGCTAACATTTATGTTTATTAATGTCAACAAAATAATTATTTTGTCTTCATCTGTATGCTGTATGCTTGTAACAGTGATCTGCATTTGCATGTATTGTTTTTGGTCGTACTTTATTGCATGATGCATGACAAGATATATTGCACAGTTGTGTTGATAATGCTTAATACAGAATCTGAATCTATCGCTAGAATATTTATTTATAGAATAGTACACCCTCTATATAAAGTATATGTTTTGAATGTTAAGAACCTTCTATATATTACATTATTTACTTATAAATATACTAACTGCTACCCACGGGCTTCACCATCACCCCGTTTGACTTCATAAAACTATTGAAGCTGAAATAAACAAAACTGAATACAGTAATACAAACAAATAATCACACCTGGTTTTAATAAGGTAGTAAATTGAACTAATAACAAACAAATGAGTACAGCTGAGTTATTTTTAGCATTAGGTCTATGAAAAGATCCCTTTAGAAAGGAATGAGGACCTTAAAGGGTAATTTATGAAATAATGGATAGTTTTGAGCAAGGGGATAGTTTCGTCATAACGAAAATTTTAAGTATATGGTTTATGGAGGTGGGACTTGTTGTTTTCTCAAACGTTCTTGGATACTTTGGGATATATTGTAGGCGATGCAAACAATTTTGGAATTTCATGTTTATTATATGAGACTTTCTTTTTGTTACAAAACTTTTCATCATATAATGGTTTTACATTTACTTTTCATCCTGGCTTCTGCTGGTTAATATGTATACTAAAACAGCCATGTCGGTTACGTCCTCTAAATAAGCTTTTAACTCCAATGGCATAAACAAAATTACTATGTAATTAACTTACAAACATCCGGATTCTAGTGACGATATTAAAAAAATGTTAAACGGACTTAGCTAAGCAATGGCTATAGTTTTATGGCGTTTTATGGCAATCCAATGAAATTATGATTTTTTAAATTAATGTTAAGGACTTGTTTACATCTATTTTTACATCTATTCACTAAAAACCAGAATATGTACTCAGATATACACCAGTGCCTACTCCAAAACCGTAGTAAAGCAAGATTCAATATGTTTTATTTTCACATAACATTCACTTCATTCTACAGATTATTCAGTTGTTCTTTGTAAGTGAACATGTGAAACTCTCAATTCAAAAACTAAACTTTTCTAAAACTGTTTCAATATTGTACATAAAAAATTCAAAAGTTTATCATTCAAAAAATCTTTCACATGGTTGTTGACAATATGTTTAATATACGCTATTCTTTTTTAACACTTCAGAATAATAATGAGGTATACTTTAAAATTGAAAGTAAAAACTTAGTAATTAAACAAATAGGCTAATTTTTTTTCTTTCAATAATAAAAACTGATTTACTGGAGCGTACAAAGTCATAAACAAACGAAACATAGTAGTAGTGAAGGTTTAAATTTTTCAAAATGGTCTTTGAAGTAGTAAAGTCAACTTACATAACCTCGGGACTCGGGAATGTGTAGGGTCCCAACACAGATCCTTGAGGCACACCAGACACTTTGCTTGCAACTCCCACTTCACCACAAGCACAACTACTGTCTCTACTGACTGAGAGAGAACTGTTGTCTAACTCTTCTCTCTTCTCTGTCTGTGTGTCGCTTCGTTAAGGGAGGGGAGAACACAAACTGCCTGGAGTTTTACCTGCATGATTGGATTTCCCAGCTACAACCCTCTTAAATTAAATTAAATAATATCCTACTCTACTCTTGAATCTAGGCCTATAAAGATAATAAAAATCATGAACTTTTGAGAACCCCGCAAATACCCCCGCCACAGCAAACCTGCCAACTAAGCGAATTTCCATTTGTCTTCATTGATTTTCAATTAAATCTATTTAAATAAGATTAGGCCTACGAATACCTAGGTTTGATGTCCCAAGGAAACTAATAAAGTGTGTTTTTAGTAAAATATTAATAGCTTAGTATATAATAAATAAATTTGCAAAGTTTGATCAAAATATATCAATAAACAAGCAAAATACAACATTTTACAATACATATTCTCCATAAGAATGACATGGAAATTTTAAATTTACAATTTTTTGAATTTTCTCCGTTACCAATAACCGTACAAAAACACTTTGATATACTCAAACCTAATGTGTTGCCTTGCAACGGGGCCAGTATGCAAAAAACTCAATGTCGGTCTCAATTTGAGGTTTCCCATTGATTTAAAATTGTACGAAATTTAACTAGAAAACCAACAAAAGATTACTTTTAGGTATGGCTAAGTAAGCAACAAAAACACTATATGTATACGGTATCAAAAGATCTGTTTAAAAAAAAAATTGGATTTTTTAAAACTTGAAAATTTTATTTCAAGCCTAGGCTTGAATAAGCCACTTAAACCTAGATAAATTAAATCATTTATCTTATGGGACAAAATTAAAAAAAGTAATAGCCCTAATTTTTACCAAGTTAATTGTACAGATCAAAATTAAGATCATCATCCAAAGGAACAGTTTAACTTTTAAATGAGGTTCTCTCACTCTATTGCAAAATCTGATTCCTATTTTGATGTATGTTTAACGTTTAATTTGTTTTCTAAAAGTTATCCTTTTTAAAGGACAAGCAAAATGTTTTGTCAAATGGTGTGTATGTTCATTGTTCAATTTAGTATTAAAGCATGGCCCTGACTAATGAAACACCTTATCTTAGTCAGTAACAAGGCTACACAGATCATCACACTCATCCTTCACTTATATTCGGGTTAAAACAGCACCTATGTGGTGTCCCCTTCTCGAATGAATGTGAATATGAATAACCATTGTCATAAACATACTTCTCATCCCAGGGTAAAATTTAAAGCTAAAGAACGGTTGTTCATGTCTCGTTCATGGCTTCATGTTGGTGATACTGGGTGCTACGCTAGTGTCGAAAAAATATTGTTTTTATTATTTTAGGGCTAATTTCAAGATTTGTGCATTACTGTTAGCTTAAACAATTAGGGTACGATCTACTGCTTATGATTATATCGTTTTATTTGACTAAACGAGGCTTTAAATAACTGAAATAACAAGAATCAAATTGTAAACAAACACACGATTCTAGCGGCACCGGACGGAACTATCATTAACATTGTATGATGACAAATCAAGGAGTATGTTTAATCTATGGCATAGTCTACATAAATAAATAGACTATACACTATTGTTGGTTAGTATGTCTGTAACAAAAAAAATATAACAGGTGAAAACTTATGCAAAGTTTGTTATTACAGAACAGATGGAAAAAATTGTTAAATATTAACCTAATTTATACTGGCTTTGTCGAAATATTTTCCCATTTTAGTGATATTTGAATAGTAAGGTACAAAACATCTAAGTGAATTGTGAAAAAACGAGACAGTTCGTTGCTTGTAATGAAATGATTAAGTGAAAAAACGTTTAGGAAAGAAAATGTTTACAATTAAATCTCTAATGTTTGGACCAGAAAGAACGGCTCAGATAAAGCTTCGTGAGACCTTTGTGCAAAACTTAAATGGAACATCAAAAGAAGAAATCATTTTCTTAGCACCATTTCCCTATTTATTCATATTTATATCGGTTTTTATAAAGTGTTGGATTCTTAGGTCTACAAAATTGAATTTATGTTACATAAATGAACTTGGACAAATTAAAGTTTCCAGTGTGACAAATTTTTTGCTAGAGTTTCTCACAATCGTTGTACCGCTTGTACTCCAGTTAACACTCTTTGCAGATGCTGCCTTTGAAGGCCTTCTTTTCACATCACTTTTCACATTTTTCATAATCATATTTTCTGTGTCGTCACTCAACAACAACAATTACTGGCGAACTCCTGATTTCACAAGTTGGTTTCTTTGTAACACCATGCCTACAAACAATACTGTATGTATTACATATTTCAGAACATTTATTTTTCTGTTGACATCAATATCAATTTTAGCAGTGGATTTCCAAATATATCCCCGTCGATTTGCTAAAGCTGAAAACTACGGAGTTTCACTCATGGATTTAGGAGTAGGTTTGTATGTCATGGCAAGTGGTGTTGTTTCCAAAGAAAAATTTGCAATTAGAAAATTTAAAGATAATTTCTTTGAGTCCTTACCACTTTTATGTTTCGGTGTGATAAGATGTGTAATTATGCAACAAATTGACTATCAAAAACACATTACCGAGTATGGGACTCATTGGAACTTTTTTATTACGCTTGGTCTAGTGAAGATGATGGCAAATATTATTTTAAAATTGTTTAACAATCACAGTCTTATATGCGCGATCGTCTTGTTAATGATTCATGAGTTTCTTCTTACTTGGTCTTTGGAACAATACGTAATGATGGACCTGCCAAGAGATAATCTGATTAAAGCTAATCGTGAAGGAATTGTGTCTCTTCTTGGATATCTGTGTATCTATATCATTGGAATATCAACAAAACGCCTTATTGGTAATGTTGACAGAAAAAGAGGACAATCTGTGAAAACAAAACTGCATTCTATGATCGTTTTTAGTGTCGTTTTCTCAATGTTGTATCTCACGTTAAAGTTTACTGAGCCCATCATTAAAGTATCAAGAAGACTTGCAAATACTCCTTATATCCTTTGGACTACAACAGTTTGCTTTGAATACCTCATATTAGGGCTTGTACTTGAACTAGCTTTCTTACTCTTTTTACCAAAAAGCACAACCAGCTCTTCCTGTAATGTTTTCAATTTGTTATTACCGGATCTGTGCAAAGCTATAAATAATAACGCTCTTCTTTTTTTCTTAGTTTCAAATTTATCAACAGGGTTTATTAACATGTATTTTGATGTGCTGAACTTTGAAACGTGGAGAAGTATGCTTATGTTGTTATTATATATGTTGTTCAATTGTTCTGTTGTGTATACTTTAAAGCTGGGTAATATTAAAATAAAACTTTATTAACTGAATTTGAAGTTTTGCAAGATTTTTTATATTATGGATCGATGGATAGATAGTAATTTACAGCGTTTTCTTTGGGATTTATCAGCCCATCAAGTGAATTGAATCACACTTTAAAATTACTGTACAAAATTGTTTGACTGTTAATCCTCCAAAAAATATATAAAACACATTTAAAAACATAACATTGCACCCATTTAATTATAAGCTAGCTTTGAAACAAATCAAATCAAATAAACTTAATTTGTGCATAGAAATTTTTGTATAAATACCCCCGCCGCGGCAAACCTGCAGACTAAGCGAATTTCCATTTGACTGATTGGATTTACACTGAAATGTCTACTTAAAAATATAACATTTATTCCCGATTTAAATAGAATTAGTTTAACAAGTACTTAGGTTTGCTGCATCAGGGAGGGTAAAGCTGTTTTTTTTTTTTAAATGTTAGTAGTTAGTAAGAAATAAAAACATTTTCCAAATTTGATTAAAATACGTTCATAAACAAGCAAACTACAAGTTTACTTATTCTCCATAAGAATAACATGGGAATTTTAAATTTACAATTTGTTTAAATTTTCTCCGTAACCATTAGGCGCATAATAACGCTTCAATATACTAAATTATTTGTTTTTTTAAGTTCTACAAAATGGTTTAGAAAGAAATTGCTAAATTTTATGTTTTTTGGGTCAAAAATGGGGAAAACCCTATTTTTACCCCATAAAACCCCCCGTAAACCCCCGTTCCCTTGGTCCGATCATGCTGGATCGCGAACTCGTTCGAATAAACGTAGGTTTACACATTTGTACCAAATTTCATCAAAATCGGATCATTTTTGCTCGAGTTATCGTGCTAACGGACATATATATATATATATATATATATATATATATATATACAATTGTTTGGATAAAGGGCTACTATTATAAATATTAAAGAACGCATACTAACTCAGTACCCTGAAATTATTTTTTATTTTTTAAAACTTTACATGTTTCGACCTTTAGGCCATTTTACAAGAGTACCATATTTAACCTCACTTTAAACACAATCTTTAAATAATTGTGTTTAAAGTGAGGTTAAATAAATGTTACTCTTGTAAATGGCCTAAAAGTCGACGCATGTAGTGTTTTAAACAAATAAAAAAATAATTTTAGGGTACTGAGTTAGTATGCTTTCTTTAATATATATATATATATATATGAATTTGAACGGATGGTGTTTTTGGCCTCTAGGGACCTCAAAACGAAAAAAATCGGTCCCGCGTCCAGGTCTTACCCGTAGTAACTCATACTCATCGACATATAAAACTCTCATACTATGGTAATAGCTTATTATATAGTATAGCTTATATAGGAAATTTGCTAAATGATGCAAATTATTTATATGCCAATTATAAAAGATTGTATATATTATTATTTTATTAATAAAAATATCTTACGTGTTTTAAACTATATTTATAAATACTTTAAATATATAATATAGTTTAAAAAATATTTTATATATATATTTAAAATATTCTCAACACATATTTTTTTTTAAATATTTAATAGGGAAAATATACATATAAAATATGTATATTATAGATTCTATACTTATTTTATCAATATATATTATGAATCTATTTGATATATTCAAAACTTATATTTAATTGTTATTTTGCATTGCTTTTCGGTAATATTTTAAATTTTATATTTGAATATATCAAACTATTATTAAAAATATAGGCTATTATTTATATATTTTATTTGAGGTTCTATCAAATACAACTTTGAATTTATAAAATATTTATAAAATACATATTTGTGCTACTAGGGTACAAGTGTAGTAAGAGCGTTTTTACATCACGCAGGTGAATGTTGTGCAACGAGCGGAAGCGAGTTGCATAATTCACTTAAGTGATGTAAACACGCTCTTGCGTAACGTGTAACGTACAATTTTACCTGACCCGACAATATACATGAAGTTAGTACAATATTTTTCATTGTCCATTTCACTCATCTTCTAACAGTAACGTTTTTTTACAAACAAAAGCTAGGTTAGGAAACGTAGTTGGCTCCATAGAGGCATATTTTTTAAGTTAAGCACTCAATGTTATTTAAATGGGTTTCCATTATCTCACCGAGTGAGTTTTTAGCGAATTTCCCTATAGGGAAGTAGCTATTACCGTAGGTGGCACGGTAAGACCTACTAGTAGACCCGGGACCGATTTACTTTTTCATTTTGATGTCCCCAGAGGCCAAAAACACCATTCGTTCAAATTTTTATATATATGTATATATATATATATATATATATATACGTCCGTGAACGCGATAACCTTAGTAATTTTTGTCAGATTTTGATGAAATTTGGTTTGAAGGTGTAAAGCGGGATAAACTTAAATGAGTTCGCAAACCAGCACGATCGGACCATGGGAACGGGGCTTTACGGGGGGTTTTATGGGGTAAAAATTGGTTTTTTTCACTTTTGACCCTCAAAACATAAAATTTCCCGATTTCTTTTTAGACCTTTTTAAAGAGCTTAAAAAACAAATAATTTAGTATATAAAAGTATTTTTGTTCGATTATTAGTAACGGAGAAAATTAAAAAAATTGTAAATTTAAATTCCCATGTTATTCTTATGGAGAATATTGTCAAATGTTGATGTAGTTTGCTTGTTTATGGATATATTTTGTTTGATCAAACTTGGCAAATTTATTTATTTTGTACTAAGCTATCAATATTTTACTCAAAAACACACTTTATTAGTTTCCTTGTAGCAGCAAACCTAGGTACTCGTTAAACCTAATGTTATTAAAATATATTTAACTGAAAATCAATTCAGACAAATGGAAATTCGCTTAGTCGGCAGGTTTGCTATGGCGGGGGTATTTTCAACTTTAGATCACTCGAGAAGTAAAGAAGTTGTATACATCACGCTTGGGATAGGGAAGTTTAACATGGCGGGTTAGGTAAATGATATAATATTGCATTAGCATCCATTTGTGAGCTATGTTTCAAGTTTCAAGTCTCTAGCTCATCGGGAAGTATCAAAATTTGCAAGAAAGCGAGTTAATAAAAACAAGCCCATGGGGCGTAGCCCAAGGGAAATATGAAAATTAAATTATATAATATTGAATTGTCTTCCATTTGTGAGCTAAGTTTCAAGTTTCAAGTCTCTAGCTCATCGGCATCGGGAAGTTAGTACAAAATTGATTGCAACATTTGTACCGGACAAGAAAGCGAGCTAATAAAAACGTTTTAAAATAGTTTCTTACCAAGAATTCGATAAAACGAGGATCAAGTATCCATTTTTAGATTCAAGCGACTATGTTTGGTGTAAAACTTGGTTTACTTTACTTCAATAATTTATTTGCATATTATATGCATGGGACGTAGTATAGTTTTACATTCAAAAATAATATTCCCTCTCTATGTTTCCAACTTCCAAGACACACGGAAAGTAGATCTAAAATCTTCCATTGAATTAGCTTCTCCAATAAAACTAAATACATCAAAAAATCATGAAACCCAAGTTAAAATAAGTATTGAAAACTTTTATAGTGAAAGTATTGGTCACAGTTCATAGTTCTACAATGTTTTGTTCAAACATTAGCGCGGATGGATATTTAAGACCTGATTCTCACGTCTTTCAGTTCAAGGCTCAAGGTAACAGTGGTTCTGAGAATAAAGATGATTATTACAATGGTCGTGAATCGTGATTCGTCGTGAACATAAGTGACATATTTTTCGTCTGTAAAGTTGTTTTTGTTTTGTGTTGATCCGAGATTAGTAAGTTATGTTATATTTTGAAGTCGAAATAAAACATTAAAGTGATTTCGCAAGTGTTTAAAGTGCTCAAATATGTGAAACATTCCGTAAGCTTAGTATTGTGCTTTGAATTGTAAACAAACAAAATCAAGTGTTGCATTATTATAGGGCAAGACCTAAGTTAAAGATTGAACAAAGTACAATGATATTCACTTACTAACCTAGGCCTGACAATTTTCCCGTTTAATATGTTGATGCTTTATTTACTTTTTTAGTTAGTCGCTAGCTGACTTGGAGAACTTGTCAAGATTCCAGTTTTATGGGTTAGGATTCATGATATTGCTTATGATTCATTCCAATGTCCCACTTAACTGTATAATTGTTCGTAACTTTGTATTAATCAGTTCATCATGGATCAATTCGTCCCACCACTGAAAGCCACCTACAATTACAATGTTAGCCAAAACAACATGACAGATACTTTAAACAATGCATCAGAACCAGGTTATGGCAAAATTGGGATAACCTCCAAAACTGCTGACAGCCAAGGTCCTGGTAGGTCTAAATCTAACGGGTTTCTATCCAATAGTAATGGACTTTCACCTTATGAAACTTCAAGATCTCTTCCTTCAAGTATTACTAATTCACCTAATCGTACTGTAGGATATGTGGATAAAAACAGGCAGGCAGAGTTGAAAAATAGGGCACCAGGTGCTATTGAAAGTATAGCTAATGAGGGTTCTGGTCCTCCTAAAATGCAACAGTCTTCTGACTATAAATTTTACGAAAGAGGAAACATCATTGCTGCATCTAAATATGCAACACCTAAACCAGTCGAAAATATAACATCAAACTTATCTAATATGGGTATTAGTGATAAAACGCTACCTGAACACCAACCACGAGTAGCGGTTGCACAATCACATGTTTTCCTGGGAAACCACAATGGTGCGACTCAAAATGTCATTGATCACAATAAATATTACAGTTCCTCTTTTATGATAAAACCAGGTGCCCCAAGTCCTACACATAGCCACAGCGGATCAAGCAGGGAATCAAATAGCCCCAGAACTAGTATTACAGGAATTCCGAATTATGATTATTCAAAGAATTCACCACTCTACGAAAACATTGACTACTATAATCACAGAGCGGCCCCCCAAGCCCCTCCGTATTATCATCAACTACCACCAACACATTCCAGTTCTTATTCCAATCACAGTTCTCAGGATTCCAAACATTCCAGCCCTAGAACTAGCTACATAAGTGTAGAAAATAACAGTAACTTTAAATATGAAACAAACTACAAAAAAGCTCAACCTCAGGTGCCTGTGGGCAACAAGTACAGCAACCCTAACTCTTTACCAAATAAAGAGAGTCCTCCATATGAAGCGCCTCCTGTTTATGAGAATATCCAAGATCTAAATAAGCTTCAAGGTTACGAGTCTTCCAAACCTGGGCCTCAAGTTCCCACACACACAGAGCAACGACCAATTTCTCACAACGCTGCTAACATGCCTCCATCTTACCCAATGTACAACCCGATGCAACAAACTAACATTGTACCTGGTATTTGTCAACCTTATCCAGTTCCATCAAACGCTAATGCCAGTGCTTCTAACGTTCCTCAACAATACCATCCACAATCAAACATTAGTATCACACACTCATCTCAGCAATATACCCCTGCGACATTTCAGAAACAAGTGAACCCTAGCGCACAAATTATTAACAGCTATGATCAGAGACACCATTCTGGATTACCGAATCCAGTCATATCTAAAGCGATTTCCACCACACCATCAACAATGGGACAAACATCAGTAGCAACAAGCAACCAATGCTCGGTCATGTCTGGGATTGCGGGTTCTGCTAGCCCGGTCCCGAGAGACTCCTCACCCAGCCCTACATTGTCAGCTAAAATGAAGGCTATTCCTGGAAGTGGAAAGAACTTACTACCCTATAATGTCACACCACCTCGTTCGCAGGTAAGAATTGAATTAGGCCTAGTTAGTTACCTATTTAAGTTATTGGCCCACAGCATTTTGAAGAGTGGGTTTAGCTCATTATTTCTGCATCTGATAATCATTATTTTTACACATAAACCCACATCTCCTATTCAAAAATATCTGAATTGGTAGGGTTGTAAACACTCATCAGTAAAATTAAATAAAACCAACGAGTTTTCTAACATAAATACACCCTCTTCGATATGCCCTTGTTAGATTATATCCTGCTGATGCTTCAGATAGATGAAATTTTTTGAAAATGTTTTAACTTCATAATAGTAGGCCCTAGGTGTTATAGTACCGGTTCACTAATTAATATTGATGCCCTTTATTGTACCGTAGTTAATAGTTAATTTTTAAAACAATTTTTACTTGGCCTACCTAGCTTCTTATGCATCTGGCTGGATTATGGTGAGTCAGTGGCTTAGGTCAGTTGTCAATAGTCAGTTAGGTAGTGCAGTAGTACGGGGTAGGCACTACATTAGCAACTTATAAAGCACAGTAAGTTAGACATAACTTACGTTTAAAAAGATGTTGCCATTTTAAATTTATTGGTACTGTCCATTCTTGTACAGTACCATCTCACCACCTGCTTTTCTTGATACGTTCCACAAACATGCTTAAGGTTTTAACAGGAAAAACAATGTAGGCCTAGGACCTAGCCTATTTATAAATTTAAAAGAAGTTGACAGCTCTAAAAAAAATAGGCTAGGCCTAAGTAAAATAAAACAGGCTATCCTATAAGCTATCATCTAAAATCTAAAAACTCATTAAATAAAAAAAATGAAAGTCACAGGTGTAGGGAAGAAACGATTTAAAGTTTGTCATGTTGGTCTCTAGTGTGAAGTAATTTAGGCTCTACGAATGTTTTGGGTTTTCTAAGCATACACTTTTTAGTTACCGTACCCTATAATTTTTACATTCAAGTCAGTTAAACACTAACTTGGAATTTAGGGTGTGAAACCTTTTATCACACAACTAAATACCGTATCCAAAACATATGTATTGTTGTAACATATTTTTTTTTTAATTTCAGGGTCCTACTGAAGCGGAACGTAAGATTGAAGAACTCACAAGACAGCTTGAAGAAGAAATGGAAAAGCAAGAAGAAGAAGGGGAATATTTTGGTAAGTTATCATCAGCTTTACTTTATTATAGCTATGCACACTTAGCCTAAGGGTGTTTTTTAAGCACTATCAAAGCTCTCCTGCAATCGCGAAAAAAGGTGACTTCGTTTCCATGACTGTCCAGACGAAGGTAATGTCTCGCGGGAGACAAATGATATGTTCAAGGCCAAAGAATATATTCATGATTTTACCGTAATCGCGGAAAAAGATTATAGGCTACGTTGTTTCTGTTACCGCGTGAGACAAAGGTGATGTCTACAAGACCGAAGAAGATAATCATGACTTTGACGCAATCGCGGAAAAAAATTACGTTGTTTCCTTAAAAAGATAACGTTTTTTCCGTAACCGTGGGAGACAAAGGTGATGTTTACAAGACCGAAGAAGATAGGCCTAATCATAATTTGGCTGCAATCGCAGAAAAAGATGACGCTGTTTCCGTGACCGTGGGAGACGAAGATGATGTTTTCAAGACTGAAAAATATATTAATGATTTTGCCACAATAACGGAAAAACATGTTTTTTTCTTGACCGCGGGAGATGAAGATGATGTCTTCAAGACTGAAGAAGATATTCATGATTTTGCCACAATTGCTGATAAAAGATTATGTTTGTTTTTGTGACTACGGGAGACGATGATGATCTTCAAGACCGAGAATTTTCAATAAGATGTTGCCATGATCTCGGAAAATTATGACGAGTTTCAATGACTGCGGGGGAATATTTCAGATGTAGTCCTTTTGCTAAGATGACCATAAGTGGTGTGTTTTATTGGGTGGGGGCACCATCCCTGTGTAGTGTGGGGGGCGCCGCTTAATGTACTCACGCCACTGTTAGTTAGGTAACTGCAGCCAAGACATTTCAAGGTCAAAAACAAGAACCTGCTACAACTCATTTGCTATTGTTTGTGGCAATATTTGACCAAACCAAGAGAAGGACCTGAATTCAATGGCTAAGTTCATCACAAAATTGTAAGAACACCTAACAGCCGCTATAGTCAAGTTTATTTTATGATTCAGGAGAGGAAGTAATAAGCGCTGTTCAGTAAGAGAAAATTAAAATTGCTATCCAAATCTAATGCAAAGAGTTATCTAACCTAGATTTAACAAATAGATCCATACTTTCAAGCCATAAAAAACATTGGGACAAGTATTAGGAGAAAATCTACTTGAACAATGTGAGAATGTGTGGATGCTGGACGTATACTCTGGCAGACAACAAGATAAAAGACGTTACAATTGACCAACTTCCAATAATGTCGCTGCTATATTCAAAGCAGACGGTGGCTGCTATATTCAAAGCAGACGGTGGCTGGTATATTCAAAGCAGACGATGGCTGCTATATTCAAAGCAGACAATGGCTGCTATATTCAAAGCAGACGATGGCTGCTATATTCAAAGCAGACGATGGCTGCACATCAAAACATTTTCAACATTTCTTTTTTAGCGAATTTCCCTATAGGGAAGTAGCTATTACCGTAGGTCTCATGGTAACACTTAGGCCCGGGACTGATTTACTTTTTCATTTTGATGTCCCCAGAGGCCAAAAACACAATTTGTTCAAATTTTTATATATGTATATATATATATATATGTATATATATATGTATACTAGCTGTGTGCCCGTTCTACGCACGGGGATCTTATAGAAGTCAGTTGAAACCTTCTTATATTAAGATTAAGAACAGCAGTTAGTTTGCATATTTTCAGATATGCTGGCAAAACTATTATATATAAACCTTCGCAAATACAGTATCTGACAGTTCAAGCCAAAATAAATGCTTCGCAATTAAATGTCACCCGGATCGTTATGGTCCATATGTCCAATGATTAAACTAAAAAATGTTTTATAGATCCATGAAGCGTAGCCCTAAAGTAGGCCTATAATTGAAAGTTACTTTCCACATCGGTTAACTTAAACGTATTTAAAGTACTACCTCAACCTCACCATTTAACACTTTATTCCGGTTGACATTTTCAGTATCAAAGATGCTCTTGTCCATTCCGTGAAACACTGAGAAATAAGGACATTAATGCGTTACCAACAGACATACACACAACAATCCAAAAAAGGCCACGAACTATTGATACATAAACAATATAAAGGCGTAAACAATTCATGATGGTTTGCCCAACAAATGTTTTACTCATATAGGTTATCATTTTCTTAGCATACCGGGTAAGCTAAGATTTGCAATCCAGACAGAAAAAGCAAAACTTATACAGAGTTAAGACATCACTTAAATTGAATACGGACGGCTCTAATAAATAAGGTGCAACACCAACGATAACTAATTTGTAAACTACAGTGATGTGTTGATACCTACGTAAAAATGATTCTAGCAGCTACCAACGGTTCTAAGGAAAAGAACCAGTACCTACGTAAGAACCTACCTAAGAACTATAGTACATCCGACCAATTAAATACATTAATATCTAGTCCCGAGGTTATTGATCTCTTGCTTTTGGATTTTCTCGTAAAAAGTTATAGCGTAAACTTATCGGTGTCAGTTTGAAAAAAAAACAACCTTACCCAAACAACTTTTTGTTATTTAATAGATTACGCATTCTCTAAACAATGATTAGTATATCTATTAACATTAGAAGGAAATGTGACGAAAATCACACAATGTTGGGGTTTTGGTCATTTGTAATTATATTATTTAAGTAGGTAGGCCATGTATTCTATGGAAAAGTACCGGTATCAAGGATCGTCGTCAAAAAGGTTGTTATGAATAAATATGTAGGCTTACGTACCCAAGATATGAGCTATGGGCCTATTGGCTGTATGGTCCAGCGATTGCATCACACGGTGAGTAGAAACAGAAAGTGACACATTGGAAAAGCGAGTTTACCACTTCCTCTGTTAAACCTCTGTTACAATCACACACTGCAGTTGTAATTTTTTACTTTACACTTTACACAACCGCCATTGAAGCGCCGTCAATGAGTGGAAACCTTTTTTGTAAGCTATTGGCGACGATCATTTCAGTGTCCCAGCCCTATACAACACTGATTCAAGGTCTTCTTTCTGGTTGTCAAAACTCAAGAAACATTTTATACTCAAAGAATTTCTGGTTCCGATTTGGACGATGTCTAGTTATTTAATTTCATTTACGGTTACACTATTAGACTATATTATTGCACTTGCGATTAATTAAATCCGTTATATAAGAAAAACGTTTTTAATCTCACTTGGTTGGGATTTGCTTTCAAAACGTGATTCGAAATGGTTGCGGTATTTGTAAACAACATTTGTAAACATATCATTGACAGCTAGAAAAAATAATCTTGATCCGAACAGCTGTTCGTTATTTCATAGACGATTATGTGATAAAAATTGAACGAAAATTTGACAAAAATCGCACAAAACTGCATTTTTGACGTCCGTAAGTTTATTTACAAAGTAGTGAGGCTATATTTAAATCACTAAAGACACTCTCGCCGATCCAGTGAATACATTAAAATGACTTGGATCTTGATAGGTACTCTGGTTTTCACGGAGAAGATTGCGTAAAATGCCATCTTCAGTGTTACAGACAAAGGGAAAGACAGACAGATAGACAGACAGACAGACAGAAATAGAGATAAGACTCGTTTCTGCTTCTTTAATGTATAAAACGTAAAAATAACCTAAAAGTATATAATTCTGAGCAAAGTACAGACAAAACTCTAATTTTATTTATATATATATATATATATATATATATATATATATATATATATATATATATATATATATATATATGTGTCCGTGAACACGATAACTTGATTAATTTTTATCCGATTTTGATGAAATTTGGTTTAAAGGTGTAAGGCTGGATAATCTTGAATGAGTTCGCGATCCAGCATGATCGGACCATGGGAACAGGGTTTTATGGGGTAAAAATTGGTTTTTCTCACTTTTGACCCTCAAAACACAAAATTTCCCAATTTTCCTCTAAACCTTCTTAAAGAGCTTAAAAAAACAAACAATTCAGTATATCAAAGTGTTTTTGTACGGTTATTGGTTACGGAGAAAACTAAAAAAATGGTCAATTTAAAATTCCCATGTTATTCTTATGGAGAATATAGTAAAATGTTGTAGTTTGCTTGTTTATGGATATCTTTTGATCAAACTTGGCAAATATATTCATTTTATACTAAGCAATAATTATTTTACTTAAAACACACACTTTATTAGTTTCCTTGTAGCAGCAAACCTAGGTACTCGTTAAACCTAATGTTATTTAAATAGATCAATTGAAAATCAATTCAGCCAAATGGAAATTCGCTAAGACGGCAGGTTTGCTGCGGCGGGGGTATTTTAATTATGATACAGGAATGATAATTCTACCTTTATAAAATAGCAAATCTTGTTCTACATAGATGTCAAGTCTGAAGTTGTAATAAGGTTCAGCCATACCCACCTCAGCCACCGTAGGACGTAAGGTATGACGGTCCCGCTGCTTTTAACATTACTTCTGATGAGAATTTCTCGAACTTGGACCCTTTAAATGAAATATGGAGATGAATTAAATGGAGGCTTCTGAATTAAACACCCGTGGAATTCACGTGTAGAACCTCTTGTTTACATATAATTTCTGTGTAAATATACATCTTGTAAACAACACAAGAGACTAACTGACAAATATCAGATGATTAAATATAAAAACAAATAAGCTGTAATTAATTGTTGTCAACAGGGTTGTTAACTTTCTTTAGCTAAAAATACTTTACCTACTTTAACTCTCCGAGTGTCCATAGTTTAGGCCTTAATGTCCGCCTATTTTTGGCGCATTTGCAAGGTTTTATTAAAACCGATCTGAGAAGCTTAAAACAATGTTAATTCTACTGTTCTATATACCATTTTGTTTGGAAAATCATGGGCTTCAATATTATACATAAAACATAAAGGAACATTTGTTTCAAAAAAATTTTTTAGGTAAAAAAAAATATTTTGGAAAAAAAAAAAATAAAAATAAGTTTGCGCTCAATGAAATTGTATAAATTATAGGCCTATA